TAGTTCGCACGGCGCTCGTTGGCGCTACGAGCAACCGCCCCGCTTGCCCCCCGATCCCCGCGCCTATTCCGCGATTCAGTGACGCGTTGTGTACTATCTAGTTAAGTCCCCTTATTCTTACTTCGTGGATAAAACCTATGCTCGCTCTATAAGTGTTGCATCAGCCATACCGGTTGGATGTGCGTAGTTACGCTTAGATATTTTTGGACAATTCTCGGTGTTTTTACACCGACTTTTTCGGTTTATCATTAATTTTAACGAACGTACAACTCCGTGGCTTGTACCCAAACCACGGTTTAGGACCTGTGTCACGATTTTTAAAGACTTAGAATGGCGTATGGACTAGCTTGAAACGGTCCTTTGAGCCATATATGCACCAAACCAAACCTATGCTCGCAAAAATCGCTGTGACGGTTACTGAGCACGTTAAAAAGACTATATAAAAAAAAAACTCAATCTCTTTTAGACTCATGTAAATATTGTGGGTCTTGTGTTCGAGACAAGATAGAAATATATGCATATATACACGAATAATAGGAAACAAATATATTATTCGTAAACAACTATAATTATTCTTTACACACGTTGCAAATTAAGTGCTAATCATGGTGAAGAAGAAGCAGATCGGTAGGTCTATTACATATTGTACATAGTTTATTTAATTTTATAGGTTTTGTACATTAAAATTTGAATTCATCAACAATGTCTGTGTTCAGAATCTAAACTGAACAAGGAAGAGCTTATGCTATTGACAATTGGAGAGATAATTCAAGAATTACTGAGAGGATACCAGGAAAATAAAGATGTCAACCTAAACAAACTAAAGACACGAATTGCTGCAAAACATGGTTTGGATTCTTCACCAAAATTGGTGGACATTATTGCTGCAGTGCCTGCTGAATTTAAAGATATACTAATACCGATGTTGAAAGCTAAACCTATTAGAACTGCTAGCGGAGTTAGTTTGTATTTTGATTTACTCTTGTTTATATTTATCTTTATTTTTTGAAACAGCAGAAAAAGACACAAAAATTATTGGACTGTTACAGATTGCTGTTGTAGCAGTGATGTGTAAACCACACAGATGTCCACATATCAACATGACAGGAAACATCTGTGTTTATTGTCCAGGAGGACCAGATTCTGATTTTGAATATTCTACACAATCTTATACTGGATATGAGCCTACGTCAATGAGAGCAATACGTGCTAGATATGATCCTTATTTGCAGACTAGACATCGTGTTGAGCAGGTAAAATAAATATTTTCATGTGGTTTTAGTTTGCACTTAACATTCCTGAAAACAATATGTTACATTTTCAATAAATACATACACACACAAAGTCTCTCAAACAGTCAGAATTCTTGCTTTAATATATTTGAGCTTCTTATTTAGCTCATTGTTGGTGCGTTATATTTTAGTTGCAACAATTAGGTCACAATGTTGACAAAGTGGAGTTTATCATTATGGGAGGAACCTTCATGTCTCTGCCAGACGAATATAGAAATTATTTTATACAAAATCTACACGACGCATTATCTGGTCATAGAAGCAGCAATGTCGAAGAGGCAGTCCAATACTCTGAACGCAGTCGCACCAAGTGTATCGGAATCACTATTGAAACCAGACCTGATTACTGTCTGAGAAAACATCTTTCGGATATGTTACGTTACGGGTACGTTCAGTTTTTAGACAATATTTAGCCTCGTTGTTCGATTTTAAATGTGAAATAATTATTTTAATAGATGTACGCGTTTAGAAATTGGTGTACAATCTGTGTACGAAGACGTGGCACGCGACACCAACAGAGGACACACAGTGCGCGCCGTGAGTGAGAGTTTTCAATTGGCGAAAGACGCTGGATTCAAAGTGATAGCTCACATGATGCCAAATTTGCCGAATGTCGATCTTGAGAGAGATGTACAGCAATTTGTTGTAAGTAACTTTTTCAACTTCTGTACGTTAATTTTCGTTTTAAATATTAAAATATCCTCTGTATATATTTTTAGGAATTTTTCAGAAATCCCGAGTTTAGAGCGGATGGTTTGAAGATTTATCCGACGCTCGTTATACGCGGTACCGGTTTGTACGAATTGTGGAAAACTGGAAGATACAAGAGCTACGAGCCAAGCGTGCTCGTTGATTTTATAGCTCATATTCTGTCTTTGATACCACCTTGGACACGTGTCTATCGTGTGCAACGCGATATTCCTATGCCGTTGGTAAGGTAAATATAACACAAATAGTAATCAAAAATAAATAGAAAACTCTAAAAAACGATCTAGTTTTTGTTGTTGAACAGAGACTTTAAGATTTAAAATTGTTCTTTTTATATGTTAAAAAAAAAAACAGTTCTGGCGTGGAGCATGGAAATCTACGTGAATTAGCGCTGGCCAGAATGAAGGATCTAGGGACGCGATGCCGCGACGTAAGGACACGCGAGGTTGGAATTCAGGAGATTCACAACAAAGTGAAGCCCTACGAAATAGAGCTTATACGGCGCGATTATGCAGCCAACAAAGGATGGGAAACGTTTTTGTCATACGAGGATCCCGATCAGGATATCCTAGTCGGCTTGCTCAGGTTGAGAAGGCCTTCCGACGATACGTTCAGGTATGATTTTCACGCGAGAAATTTAAAAAAATTTATATAAAATTCTGCATGTACAAAGTTTTTTATCACAATTAACACTCGTTGTGTAGACCGGAATTAAAAGGATCAGTTTCCATAGTGCGAGAGCTTCACGTTTACGGCAGCGTGGTGCCCGTTAGCGCTCGCGATCCCACAAAGTTTCAGCATCAGGGTTTCGGCACTCTTCTGATGGAAGAAGCGGAGCGCATAGCAAGAGAAGAACATTACTCTAAGAAAATTTCTGTAATTTCAGGTACGTTATCTAGAACCGTGATATTTTATAGTATTTACATTATTTAATTGCGTATATTTGCATTAATTATTTAAATTTAATAAGCTAAGTAACAATTGAATAATTTATGTATTAAATAAAGACTTATTTTTTTACACTTATAGGTGTTGGCACTCGCAATTATTACAGAAAATTAGGTTACGAACTAGATGGTCAATTCATGTCTAAAATGCTTATATAATAAACTGTATATGTACATGTAACAAACATTGATTTGTAAGTTAACTCTATACCAAATAAATATTTTTACTGAGATATTATTATAAAATTTTACTGAATTTTTTTGAGAGTATTAAATTTATTACAGACTATACATATATATGTATATAGGACTTTTCGACTATATATATACATAATCGAAAAGTCCTATATCATTTTGCGAGATTCGCAATAGTTACCGAGATCTTAATTAACAAAGATCCGCGAATAAATATGCACCGGACTGTCTTATGCGCACAAGACAGCCCGCTGGGTTTCAAGCGATTACCTTTTATCATGTATATGTTATTATAGTATATGCTATTATATTAGTTCCTCCCATATGTTTCTACGGGTAACACCGTGATGCATGCTTATTCGCGGATTTTTGTTACTTAAGATCTTGGTAATTATTGCAAATCTAGCAAAATGGATTTTTTTATTTCAGATATGTGGATGACAGTTTTGACCGCTCCATTTAATGAATTAAATGACTTACTTAATATTTTAATAATTATGACGAGAGATTAAAATTCACTAGAGATACAGGATAATTTTTCTCTGAGTTTCCTGGATGTAGAACTAATTGTTTCTAATGTAACAATAATGAGATTGTTAGCGACTGGTTCCATAAATGTACTTTTTCAGGAAAATATCTGAATTTTTACTCAGCTCATCCTGTATCTCAAAAAATAGAAATCATTATTGATATGACAGGATAGAGTCTTATTATTATCACACCCTAAATTTAATGAGAAGAATCTACATTTCATGATTAATATTCTTATTTTAAATAACTATTTATTAAATTTGATTTTCAAAGTTTTAAATAATTGCATAAAATTTCTAGTTAATAATAAGCTTAATTCACAAAATAATGTACCAATAAACTCTGATATTTCTATTAAAAATTTTTTGTAATTCCGTTTATAAACGGTCTTTCTCTCGCAATCTCTAAATATCTTAAAAACAAAAAGAAAAAGAACTTTACTAGCTTTCCATAATTTTAATAAATTAAGTAGACATATAAGAGTTCTTAAAGATTTGCTAGATCTCGACCAACAAAAAAATGTAATTTATAAATTACTATGCGACGATTGCGATGTCTTCTACGTTGGTCAAACAATGAGGAAGCTCAGGACGAGGGTACATAAGAATCAATTGAATCGCAATATTGAGAATATCTCTATGTTGTTACTCAACATCGTATTGACACAGATCATGATTTTGATTGGAAGGATGCGCAGATTTTAGATAGTGAACCAGCTTATTTTAAGAGATCCGTATCTCTGAAATGGTTCATATAAAAATGCAAAAAACTTCTATTAACATCATGTCAGATACAAACAAACTCAAAGCGTAGTTTTCTTTTCTAGAATTATATAAGTTGAAATAATCGTTTGTCTTGTTTGTTTTTCTCATTACTTTTCTCAATTTGTGTACGAGGTTTATCATATGTGTGTGTGTGAACCAGGGACTTATACCGAATACCGATATGCAAAATATCGGTATGACGTCATACCGATATACGATAATACCGGTATATTTACCCATATTTACCTATATTTACCGATAATTTTTTCGTGATTTTTTAAAAGTAATATCTTAAAACTATAAGTGTTGTCATTATGTTGATAACACTTTTTAATAATACAATGTTTATAAAAAA